CTCTGCCACCGGAGCTAGTGTTTGTGCTTTGTGACACTCTCTGCCACCGGAGCTAGTGTTTGTGCTTTGTGACACTCTCTGCCACCGGAGCTAGTGTTTGTGCTTTGTGACACTCTCTGCCACCGGAGCTAGTGTTTGTGCTTTGTGACACTCTCTGCCACCGGAGCTAGTGTTTGTGCTTTGTGACACTCTCTGCCACCGGAGCTAGTGTTTGTGCTTTGTGACACTCTCTGCCACCGGAGCTAGTGTTTGTGCTTTGTGACACTCTCTGCCACCGGAGCTAGTGTTTGTGCTTTGTGACACTCTCTGCCAAGGCGGGGACACAGGACACCTTGGTGGACAGAAGAAGTCAAATTGAAAATAGGAGAAAAGAAAAGGGCATGGAAGCAATACCTGGCAGCCAGGAACACAGCTGAAGAAATAGAAAAATATAAACAATATGTGGCACTCAGAACAGAGACCAAAAATATTGTGCTTAAAGCAAAACAGAAATCATGGGAAGAGTTTGGAGAAAAGTTGGAAAAGAATGCAAGAGAAAACCAAAAACTGTTCTACAAGACCCTTAAGAACATGAGGAAGGAGAAAGAGTGCCCACTTAAATTCATAAAAGACAAGGAAGGGGCTCTGCTTACTTCTACAAATGATATCATGGGCAGATGGAAAGAATACTTCTCAGAGCTCCTCGGCGCTGAGGGAAGTCATGACCCAGAAATAATGGACCTCACTGCTGAGAAGGAATTCAATCATGGGGAAGATAACATCAGGATGGAAGAATTGAAGGCAGCTATTGAGAAGATTAAGCTGGGAAAAGCAGCAGGTCATGATGGTATAACACCAGAGATGGTCAAATATATGGGAGTCGAAGGTGAGCGCCTTCTACTGAAGGTTCTCCAGGCAGCCTGGTGTAGCAAAACTATACCAAAAGATTGGGAGATTGCCATCATTATACCTATATTTAAAAAAGGTGATAACAGACAATGTGAAAACCACAGAGGCATATCCCTCCTCAGCATTCCCGGTAAAAGTTACTCTAGAATTCTTGAGCAGAGACTTAGAAGTCTGGTAGAGCCACAGCTGGACGAGGCCCAGTGCGGCTTCAGAGCAAACCGAAGTACTCAAGACCTTATCTTCACACTGAGACAGATGAGTGAAAAAGCCCTGGAATATAAGAGTGAGATTCACTTATGTTTTTTGGATCTGGAAAAGGCATTTGACAAGGTACCCTGGAACAAGCTCTGGGACTGCTTGGCAGGGAAAAACATCCCAGCACCCCTGATCAGTGCAATACAGAGTTTCTACAAAAAGTGCAGAAATTATGTAAGAACAGCAGACCAAAAGTCAGAAGAATTTAAGACCACCAGCGGTGTTAGACAAGGTGATATTCTCTCACCTTACCTCTTCATTCTTATGATGGATGATGTCATCAAGACCTGTAAGGAGAAGACAAAGAAGTACTCTGTAGGGTACTGGAAGATGAGACCAATCTGTATATCAGAGCTGGCTTTTGCAGACGATGTGGCCCTGATAGCTAAATCAGAGGCACACCTTCAGTACAACTTACTTGTCTGGAAGGAAGAGCTTGAAAAGAAAGGGATGACCATCAGTGTCTCCAAAACTAAAACCATGGTGATCTCAAGAGAGGAGAAGAAACACCAAATCATGATGGGTCAGTATGCGTTGGAGCAGGTTAACCAGTTCAAATACCTTGGAGTTGTATTAGACCAAAATGGAGGCATTAAGACTGAGCTGGCTACACGAAAAGCAGCTGCTGGGAGACTCTTCCAGGCCATAAACCGAGGGTTTCTTAGCAAAAGAGAAATTGGCAAGAGGACGAAAATGGCTGTTTACCGCTCTACCTATGTACCAGTCCTGACCTATGGGTGTGAGTCATGGGCAATGACAACAGCTCACAGAAGCCAGCTGCAGGCCTCGGAAATGAGATACCTGAGAAAGGTGGTCCAAGTGACAAGAAGGGACAAAGTCCGCAATCAGACAATACGTCAAGATCTTGATACCCAGCCCTTACTAACCCGAGTGGATCAGTCACAGTTACGATGGTTTGGACATGTGTGCAGAATGGGAGAAAATCGGCCACCATGGCAAGCATGGGAGGCTAAGAACCAGGGAACCAGACCTCCGGGACGACCCAGGGTGCGCTGGGAAGACAACATCCGACAGTCCCTGACTGACAGAGGACTGGAATGGAACAAAGCCAGAAAGAAAACTGCTGATAGAGACGTTTGGCGATCTCTCTGGCAAACCTCTACACCCCAAGGTAGAAGAGGAGCGACTAAGTAAGTAAGTAAGTAAGACACTCTCTGCCACCGGAGCTAGTGTTTGTGCTTTGTGACACTCTCTGCCACCGGAGCTAGTGTTTGTGCTTTGTGACACTCTCTGCCACCGGAGCTAGTGTTTGTGCTTTGTGACACTCTCTGCCACCGGAGCTAGTGTTTGTGCTTTGTGACACTCTCTGCCACCGGAGCTAGTGTTTGTGCTTTGTGACACTCTCTGCCACCGGAGCTAGTGTTTGTGCTTTGTGACACTCTCTGCCACCGGAGCTAGTGTTTGTGCTTTGTGACACTCTCTGCCACCGGAGCTAGTGTTTGTGCTTTGTGACACTCTCTGCCACCGGAGCTAGTGTTTGTGCTTTGTGACACTCTCTGCCACCGGAGCTAGTGTTTGTGCTTTGTGACACTCTCTGCCACCGGAGCTAGTGTTTGTGCTTTGTGACACTCTCTGCCACCGGAGCTAGTGTTTGTGCTTTGTGACACTCTCTGCCACCGGAGCTAGTGTTTGTGCTTTGTGACACTCTCTGCCACCGGAGCTAGTGTTTGTGCTTTGTGACACTCTCTGCCACCGGAGCTAGTGTTTGTGCTTTGTGACACTCTCTGCCACCGGAGCTAGTGTTTGTGCTTTGTGACACTCTCTGCCACCGGAGCTAGTGTTTGTGCTTTGTGACACTCTCTGCCACCGGAGCTAGTGTTTGTGCTTTGTGACACTCTCTGCCACCGGAGCTAGTGTTTGTGCTTTGTGACACTCTCTGCCACCGGAGCTAGTGTTTGTGCTTTGTGACACTCTCTGCCACCGGAGCTAGTGTTTGTGCTTTGTGACACTCTCTGCAGTAAGCTAGCTGTGTTATGGAGAGTCTGAGCCATATGGGATACAACCAGCTCAAAACAGGTATCATAAACAAAAATTTTTAAAAGGTTAAAAAAAACAACGGCCAACCTGGCATCTCCCATTGAGTGTTCACTGGTTTATTCTAAAAAAAAACAACAGCAAATGCCCAACACACATCAGTGTGCCAACATGGACCAACAGCAAATGCCCAACACACATCAGTGTGTCAACATGGATTAATAGCAAATACCCAACACACATCAGTGTGTCAACATGGACCAACAGCAAATGCCCAACACACATCAGTGTGTCAACATGGACCAATAGCAAATACCCAACACACATCAGTGTGTCAACATGGACCAACAGCAAATGCCCAACACACATCAGTGTGTCAACATGGACCAACAGCAAATGCCCAACACACATCAGTGTGTCAACATGGACCAACAGCAAATGCCCAACACACATCAGTGTGTCAACATGGACCAATAGCAAATACCCAACACACATCAGTGTGTCAACATGGACCAACAGCAAATGCCCAACACACATCAGTGTGTCAACATGGACCAACAGCAAATGCCCAACACACATCAGTGTGTCAACATGGACCAACAGCAAATGCCCAACACACATCAGTGTGTCAACATGGACCAATAGCAAATGCCCAACACACATCAGTGTGTCAACATGGACCAACAGCAAATGCCCAACACACATCAGTGTGTCAACATGGACCAATAGCAAATGCCCAACACACATCAGTGTGCCAACATGGACCCAGTTTATAAATCGACCAATAATAAACATTTTATACCAGTGGTTCTAAGACCCGCAAACTCCTCTTTTGAACATCTGTCACAGACCCATACTTTTTAATAGTCAAACCGAAAAATTTATACAACTTCTAAATATATTATTACAACTGCCCCAAAAAAAAAATAGCATTTTTAAGTTGGGGTGTCATTTTTGTTTATATCTTGGACACCTTAAATTTACTCAATTTATATAAATGCAGGCGTGGCGAAAAACTGGACAGAGAAATTAGCTCCAGATGTGCAAAAGCTAATCAAGTAATGGGGCAACTATCTCCCCTGTTGACACACAAGCAGATACCTCAGAGTGCTAAAGTGAATCTTATCAGAACTATTTTCGGGCCAACACTATGCTATCAATCCCAAACGTGGACACTTACATCCTCCAATGAACGTAAAATTGTGACAACAGAGATGAAATGCCTTAGAAGAGCTGCAGGAGTTTCAAGGAAAGACAGAATATGAATGACGAATGATAGGAATAAAGCCAGTCTTACAGGTCATCAAAGAACAACAAATGAAGTGGTTTGGACACCTAACAAGAATGCCCTGTTACTATCCGCCACAGCGAGCCACACTAAAACGTCACAACGGGTATAGAGCGAGTGGAAGACCTCGGAAAATATGGAGTGATGGCAATAAGAATAGCCTTACAGAAATTAACATTACATCTCCCCCCGACACTTCGATGAGGTAAAAGGTGGAGAGAAGAAGAAGGCGTAGCGGACCACTAAACAGCAGTATGGTATGCTTACATTGGTAAACTAGATGACACATTTCAACATAAGATGCAGACGACACAATGCATCTACTGCACATACCCCTAACAAGTTTACACTAATAATATGCAAATATATGTTTTATCTATAAAATGACAACAAAAGAAGCATAATGCAGACTAAATAATGGACACATAATACGATGAAACAAAAAAAAAAACTGTAACCACACAATTAATGATCATTTTATTTCAGAATAATGTCTGCTTGTGATATTTAAAAAAATGTCCTGTTCATATTTGTTACTTTACATTCATCAACATGGCTGTCACTTGAGGGGAGGTCACTCTCCCTCTGTGTGTGAAGTCTCTTCCTCTTCTCTTTTCCAAATGCACACCAGGTTGTTGTCCGTGCCGCCCGTGACGTACTCGTGACTGCTGCTGATGGCCACAGTATTGACCACAAGTTCCTGAAAATGATCAAGAAGCTGGTCAGCAAATATTTTCAGACTATGCACGTCGTAGAACTTCTTCCTCCCTCTAAACCCCTCAATGAAACACAGGCCCTCAACCAACTCACACCAAGTATTGCTTCTGTACTGTTTTTTTTTCTCTTACGACTCCATTCCTGATTTTTATCTTTTCTATACTTTCTCAGACATCTTATCTCCAAGGCAGAATCTACCTCTCAGTAAAAAGTTTACTAGCACCATTCAAATGAAAATGCAAACTGTAAAATACCACATATTACCACAATTGTGTGACCTGATTTCACAGATTTTAAATAAAATTTTCAGTCTTACCTGGCGCAGAGCTAGTGGGGCTGCATTGTTTAAAATGTGTGGCCATTCCAAAATCTGAAACAGACATTAACAGCAATTTAATTCATCAGTATCAAGTGTCTTGCCAACAGGTGTGAATAACCTTGCTTCTAAATATTTTATAACAATTCTAAGCAGCACATACAAATTTGTGTGCTCACACCGGTCTGTGCTATGACAAATGGCTGTTCAGATTCGGGAAGGGGGGGGGGGTTGTCTCTATCTGCCAAAATATTTTATTTAAGATTAATAAATGTGGCCAAAAATGATGACTGCCTCCTCCTGACCTCAGTGATAAGTGGTCTTTGTACCCTGGCTTGTTGGCTACTTGTCCAGGACTAACCACTGTTAAAACCAATTCACCCCAACATAACAAGGATTTATTGCACATTATGTTTCATAAAATGATGATTTTAATTGTCCTTCAACATGTGTTTTTAAACCCAAAAAATCTTTTGATACAATTTTTATCTTGGTAACCAGGTCGACCTGGCCTTAAGTGGGTGGGGGGAGCATATGGAAAAGTACAGGTGATCAGTGTGATGTTTACCGCATCATTCATCAAGTGGGTGGGGGGAGCATATGGAAAAGTACAGATGATATGTGTGATGTTTACCGCATCATTCATCAAGTGGGTGGGGGGAGCATATGGAAAAGTACAGGTGATCAGTGTGATGTTTACCGCATCATTCATCAAGTGGGTGGGGGGAGCATATGGAAAAGTACAGATGATAAGTGTGATGTTTACCGCATCATTCATCAAGTGCCCTATAAAATATAGGTCTAGCCCTATATGCCTGAAGGTGTGGACCAGCGCCTTTACTTTATCATCTGTCATCAAATTGTGCACATACAGGCATACTCATTTCTGGAATACTACAATTACTTCTGGCTCTACACTATTTCAGCCTGGGTCCGTTTTTGCTCATTCTACAACCAGTGCCTGTCATTCCTTACCATTTGTTTCCACCAAGGCATCATCATAAACATCATCATCATGTAGCAGGCCCTCTGCAGAATGTTGCTCTCTGCCTGAAAGAATCTCGGTCTGTCACCAGCTCTCCCGCCTCATCTACTTTCACAATCAAGAAGTCACTTATATCCTGTGTTCATCTTCATGCTGGTCGGCCTCCGGCCCCTCCTTCCTGGTACCATGACTTCAGCTATTTTTTCCAATCTGCCATGGCACTTGATATCACTACAATATTTCAGCTTCCAAGACAAGATACTATTTGTTAGCCAATCGGATTTCATCAGATTTGTTTAAATGTCAGCATTTCTCCTCATCTCTGTCGATGATATTCTGAGAATCTTTTAATAGCACTTTAACCCAAATGCCCCAATTTTCTTTCTTAAGGACCTATTTTTTATTTAAATAAGTACAGCTAATCCTGTTTTGTTTTACAACAACGAACTATCATTCATGATATAATTTCTACAGATATTGTAGAGGACATTTTTCCTAGACTTGAAGCAAATTGAATATATGCTGCTAGCTTCCTTCAACACTCAATAAGGGATGTAGTAGAGGGTTGACTAAATGCTTCCCCGTTGTGGTGAGGGAGAAAAACTTGTGTTCCTACTTAGAAGTGGCAAAGGAATGTATGCATCTCAATGTCCTTACCAGGTAGTAGTCAAGGGAAAACCAACAGTGAAGTGTTCAGCTGCAGGTGCTACACGACACATACCACAATCACAAGGAAAAGAGAACACTGTATAGGGTATACAAACAGCCCTATCAGTTGGGAAATACTGGACCAGAGAAGCAGGTGGAGCCATAGAAAGGTTGTAGCAAGTTAACACAAACAATTATTTTTAAAAAAAGAAAAATCAACTTCATTAAAACCCACACGGGTTCAGGGCTCCATTTTACAAAACAAAGAACAGAAGAACCACTGCCTCCTAGAAAGCATGCCACAGCAAGTGACTGATTAGGGGTGTTTCCTTCAAAGTGGAACTGCATCTGCATGAGTTCCAAGGAACCAATGAAGTCTGAAAACAAATAAGTCGGATCTGTTAAACACACATAAAAAGACCACAGCCCAGGAGTGGACAAGCAACCGGTACTTTCCATCGAGTTTACAGCCGGTGAGTGGCAAGAAGACAATACCAAGATTCTAAGACAACAGTCAGATCATGATGGTCAGTATCTGCTACAGATGAAATACTTACAAGACAGACACAGAAATATGGTGGCAGCCTCACTGCTATAACATAATGCACATAAAATGCTCAGTAGATGGTACTCTGAGAATACTATCTATCTACTGTAAGACTACTCACTTAATTTACAGTCAGGGTTTTTTCAAAAACAAAAAGGTGCCGTTAATCCGCACAAAGTGTCTTAACAGGTGCCAGTACTCACCAAAAAAGTTGTTTATTACAGAAAAATCTGATGCCTAAAAAGGGTGCTGGTACTTCGTACCATTGCATACTGCCAGAAAAAACCTGCTCACAGTAGTTAATGAAACACACAAGACATTAGACAGCACTTACGCTGGATGCCTCCCAGACATTTTGCTCATCCTCGCTGCGATGTTTACTGATGATTTCTTTGATATTATACAAGAGCAGGTTACCTTGGTCGTCCCCAACACCCAGAAGCCCTAGAGAACAAGATATTACAGTTAGTCTGACTCCACATAAAGCCATGGTAGTGGCTTATGTACCGTGTCTCTCCCAAAAAAAGCCCTAGGAGGATTTTTCAGGACATGTAATATAATTTAAAAAGCATAAGTATAGATCTTTCTGTATCTCACTTGATCTCTATTTTATTTATAGTCACAATGGGTTTAATGCATAATTTTTCTTTTTCCGTCTTCACTAATTTCCACTGTCAAGAGAATCGATCCCGAACACTGAGGGCTAAGATCTGTGAAGAGACAGGAGCACCTATGCCATTTGGCCAAACAAATGGTGATGGTCAGGATGATGATGGTGGTGATAATGATGATGGAGGTGATGAAGACGATGATAGTGATCATGATGATGGTAATAATGGTGAAGGTGATGATGACGGTAGTGATGATGATGAAAGTAATAATGGTGGTGATGTTGATGACAGAAGACGCCAGCAAGAGAAAAGTGACAGCCCACTGGACTCACCATTATTATAACCCAGGTTGAGATATTTCACATTGTGCTGCGGGTACTTCAGTTTAATCAGAGGCTCTATAGCAACCTCCTTCTTCCCCTTCTCCACATGTTTGCTCAGGTCCCAGATGAGAATCTCTCCAGACCCCACCTGTTTGGTGGCTACGGAGGGACAAGCAAATGAAAAGAGTTAATGATGCCGACTAGTCTAAACAATCAAAGTATGACCCACACAATCCAAAACAAGCTCACCTAGCATAAGTAAAAGCATCATGACACCAGCAAAATCCCCCATGTGCAAACATCTATGTTAATTCACTCAAATCAATCTAACTGATACAGCTTCATCTTTGTGTTCACCGGCTGTAAACGGGTTCTTCACCCACTTCTCAACTTCGCTCTTGTTCCTGAACTTGAATTTTGCATGCACATCCATTTGACAGATCTTGCTTATTTGTATGCAGACTGTTGATTCCTCACTTCTCAGACGGATGAACTCGACTCTGTCGGAAAAATCTCTAGTGACCATTTACAACATGCTTGTTATGGAGACAGAGAACTGGTAAATGAACCCACTCAATCATTTTAATTAATTATCTCTTATATGGGTGTCCCGAGTGCTGTGATGTTGATTCTTAATTCAACATTCAATTAAATATCTCCTTCTGCACCCATGGGTTAAATGCCTCTAAGGGAAGCACAGATGTGACATCTCTTGCAACAGGGATGGCAGACTACAGCCAACCACTGCTTCCTTCATCAAAACATGGACACTACAGGAGTTTCAATAATGCAGTCACAAATAATATGCTGCACAATTTATCGCCTGGCATATTTCCCCATATCTTGTCAGATGTATTACAGTTAACATCAACATACAATGAAGCATAAAAACTGAATTCATTTTACTGAAATACACAAATCACATCGTCTCTGACAATACATTGTCTAAAGGCAGGAAGTCAAGATGGTCACATGAAATCAAGTTAGTCTTGTGGTTTACCACACCAAATTTAAACTTATTATTCATTTATCAGGAATTCCCTCTACTTGCAGAAAGCGGGATTCAAAGTTTTTATTGATAAAGCTTCCACTAGCTTTAGCAGCCTCATGTCTGGTGTGTGGTAAATAAAATGGAATGCACTGATCCCATCAATTACATGTCTAAACTCAAGCAATGACATCCTACTGAAGAGTTGGGCTCTGTCGAAAAGGTTGTTGTTGTTCTTCTTCTTCTGCGTTCGACATCAGTCATGCTACACGTCGAAAAGGTTGATCTGTAGGGGGTTTCTGTGGCGAAGTGGTCAAGTTGTTTGCCTCGTGCTTTTAAGGTCATGGGTTCGCTCCACGGCTGTGCCCTTCAATTCACAAGTGCAATTTTTATGGAGATCCATGGGGACTGTAGCCGGAGCTACAGAGTTCATGCCCTGCACTGCGCTCTCAGCAGGCGGATAGCAGTTCTGCAGAGAGAGACTGAGCTATTTAGGATAAAACCCTGTGCAATGAAGTCAGTTATCTTGACTTTAACCTAGTTGATCTGTAATAATGCACCTGACAAGATAGAGTAAAACATGCTTATGTTATTTAAATGTACTATGGGAAAGCATTATTTTGAACTACAGGAGTTGAACACCTACCAATCAAATCTCCTGGCAAACTGATCAACCCATCCACAGTTAAAGTCTTGGACTTGGGGTGCTGGAAGATCAAGTCTGCTTTCCTGAAATAAACAACCAGAAATGTTTCTCCACCTTCAACACAGATGTCCCAGAAAACAGCTATCAAACACTTCTATCTTTCATCTCAGCAAAAAATGTATAGCATCTTCATTCCAATGTCTGCCCTGAATCTTGACAGCATAATTATTCAGTTCATCTCTTGATATTGTCCACTAGTAGGCAAGGCTATTCCCCTCTTCCACACTTCTCTACAGCACACATAGCAGAGTCTCTTCATGTGACCAGCCTATCCTCACACTGTTTATTTCTTCTTCTTCACTTCCTCTTTTACCGCTGTGGGTGTCGAGGGAGATATAAGGTTCTGTTTCTGGCTCTTTTGGCCGCCTCGACCATGGGCACATCGTGCTGTTGTAGAGCTTCTCTGATGTTATCCTTCCATCTTGTTCTTGGTCTACCTCTTGCTCTATGACCTTCTCTTTCCAGGTATGCTTTGTATGGTATGGTGTCACAAGACATTCTCTCTAAGTGGGCAAACCATTTCACTTGCTGTCTTTGTATGTAATCCAGAATTGGTTCTGTGCCGACTTGTTCTCTTATGATCTCATTCCTGATCTTATCTCTTATGGTCACTCCTACAGCCCTTCTCAGACATCTCATTTCCATGGTTACTAATTTTCTTTTATGGTTTGTTGTGAGTGACTATGTCTGGCACTGGTAGCACAGAGTTGGAATAAATATGCTTTGAACAAGATGTCTCTTTGTGCTGATTGGGATTATCTTATGCAGTGAGGGGGGGGGGGGGGGGGGGGGGGGCTAGCTGTCCCAACACTTGGTTTGCTTTACTGAATCTAATGTTATTTACTGTCAATAATTATGTAAACATTTAACATTGAAGTATAAATTCAGTTTAACAGCTGATCGAGTCTAGACTAGGTGTCACAGAGGATGCAGTCAAAAAAGATTACCATTAAATGTTAACAATACTGAACACATGGTAGCTTCAAGAACATATAAATTCCAATTTGTTATACACATGGGACAGGCTTAACTATCAAACAGGTGGACTATTTTACATTCGCTGACTGCAGAGTGACATCTAATGGATGATGTGTCACAGAAAAGACTCTTTCAAACAAAATAATAATCTTTCTCTCTTGTGTGCGCACATACATGCATGCACACACACACACAAAAGAAATATCATAAGTGCAGAAGCCTGCTTAATGAAAAAATATGTTCGTCTGACTGGATCAGACAGCTGGACAGTAAGTAATTGGTGAAGGCCTATGAGATAGAAGATATGCGTTCTCTGTCTAAAATTGTTGTGATGACAAAAGAACAAAATAGGTTTCATTGGTAAAGGCACTGGAGATAGCAGAGATGTATTTTCTATGTAAAATGCTGAGAATATTTATTAGGCAAACCAAAATTTGAAGCAAACTAAACGCTGACATACCCACAGCAGCAGGTGTTACAAGATCATTCATCAAAACAAGAGCAGGAACTCACTCAATGACTTTTGCTCTTCTGACAGGCGTCAGCGAAGGACAATCAGTGACTATCCATCCAACACAGCCTCTCTCAGCACCAGCTATCAGCAGCTGGGAGCGCTCACTGAAGACAAGGTTGAGAGCATCACCAACAGTGTCCTGCAGGGAAATCTTCAGCAACGGCCTGCAAGCAGCATCAGTCATACATACAGATCTTTAATGACACTTTATATTCATCAAACTAAATGTAGAATAACTCAAGCAAAGGCAGTATTTTACAATAAATGGTATGGTCACTGAAGGAAGAAGGGGCAGGGTTGGACAAACATAAAGGTGGACATACGACACTGGAGACACCTTGGGTATGACAATACATGAATTAAAGAGATTAACAAGTCTTTCCAGCTTTAATGATGGCAGTCACACTCATCAAAGAACCTGTTACATGTTAATATGACGATTCAGAAACTGAAAAGCTATTACCGTCAAATATACTCTGTAAACAGCAATTGGCTGGAAAGTTCCAAGAGCACCGATACTTCCAAGAAAACATTATTTACAGCTTAAGTTATTTTGGCATACACACGTCCGGAACCTTCCCAGTGCTACAGAGTTTGTTAATTATGCTTAGATTCTACTTATCTGGTCTATGCGAGGAGACTGCAACCCTACTGGAATTATCCACATGCTAAAAAATATTACCCTTTACCAAGATTTGTTGAAATCGGCTGTGTTGGCTAAAAAGTACTGTAATGGGGGATATTTTCACCCAGATTAGGATGGTTAGGGGGAAGGCCCAAAGCTGACCTAAAACACCGAGATGTTCCAGATACTCGGATCAAACGAGGATCTTGAGATAGGTGATGACCACTAGTTATCATGGGTATCGCGACGACACGACCAAAGGTTACCACGTGAAACTAACCCGTGGTATAAGTCAGACTTGATTCTGATCAAGTTTAGTTTGTGCGACTGAGTGTAAGAATGTCAACGTAAGACTGTTTGTTGCGAAAGGAGACCATGACGACAAAGTGTGAAACCAAGATCGACCAAGCCAGTCGGTGTAATGGCAAGAAACTGAACCTGATTTACTGGAGCCGACTCTGGTCAGTGAATGCATGAAGAACCTGCTCGTTGAAGGCTGCGTGAATTGGTGTGCGAGAGCTGTGTATTAGGACAACGACTGACATTGCGGTAAGTTATAACATGTCAATAAATCGATGCTTGTATGACTAACTTGGTGTCGGCTTGTACCAGTTATGTAACGTAGAGTGTGTGAGAAGAACATCCACTACACACACATGAACACCACCTAGACAACGAGAGAATAAAACTGCACTTATTGCAGGTGCCTAGCTGCCAACCACAACAAAACGTACCAAAAACCCTTTTCACACAGAAGACAAAGATGATAAAACCACACAGACAAGATATGTAGTCATTTTTCTAGACCTCGGCCTTAACTATGTCATCCGGAGAAAACTTCACCTAGTCAAGACAAAATCTAGTCATTCCCAGCTGTGACAGCCTCCCACAAGCTGATACATCAGTCCGTCTGCAGCGACCTATATTTATAAAGTGTAGTTAAATCTGATCGGTTCTATGTGCGCTTTTACAGTATTTAATAGGCTAGGATATAAATACATCAACTTAAAAAAGCGGGGGGGGGGGGGGGGGGGGGGGGGGGGGCTACTGACCCCTAATGGCTTTTTTAAAGCCAACTTTATGTCCTGCAAGTTTAGTTATATAGGTCACAGGGTCAACGCATAAGTCACCAGATAATTACTGTTTTTTACAGGGAATGTATCCCATTCAATGCTTCATTCTGAAATGACAGAAGGTCCTCTTTATTGATTACTCTTTTGCATGTCTTGGAAAATGTATTTTATGTAGATAAGTTTTTTTTAAGTTTAATTTCTCAGTAGCCTGTGTAAAGTATTTGTTTTTTAAATCATTTACACCCAGGCATTTCCAGGGGCTCACAGCTTTTTCTTTTCTTTTTCTGTTTAAACATGTGCAGGGTGAAAGGATTATTGAACAAAAACAGGCATTTAAAGAAATTACTCACATATAATTGCTGTTTGGGGCCTTGTCAGGGATACCAATGTCCCACAAAAACACAAAGCCATCTCTAGAGCCACCTATAAACAAATTGTAATGTACAACATTTGAAAAACACAGAAGATCTCAAAGTCTTTAAATGTAACACCTTCACTTAAAACTACATCATGACGTCAGTGGGAACTGCAAACAAACCACACAGAAGACAATGACAATCCCATGGCAAATGCTGTCACAGGGTTTACAGATATATTGAGTCACATCTAAAATCTATTTGATAATTCTGGGATAACGCAAGAAACATTTTTCTCTAACATCTGGAAGCCAGTCAGTCTGCAATCAACTAGGAAGCCACAACAAACTAACAACTTACTGAACAGCAGACGTGTGAGTGTTGGGTGAAAGAGCAAACAGCTGATGTATTTCTTGTGTCCACGGATGACTGCGTACATGAGAAGCTGGCTGGGGTAGATCAGCTTCACCATTGCCCCTTCCCCTGTGGAAGACATTGGACAAGTTACAGGCAAATATGACCCTGGCTAACATAATTACATAAAGGAACAAAAACATGTTCACTAACTTCCCTCGGGACTCTGGGTTACAGTGTGGAAAACACAAGACCTAAAACTCATGGAATTATGACCAACTTAGGTCTAACCAAACCTCTAACTATGTGCTGTACTCCCTGTATGGGTTTTGGGGCTCCACTGTGCTGTGCTCCCTGTATGGGTTTTGGGGCTCCACTGTGCTGTACTCCCTGTATGGGTTTTGGGGCTCCACTGTGCTGTACTCCCAGTATGGGTTTTTGGGTTCCACTGTGCTGTACTCCCAGTATGGGTTTTTGGGCTCCACTGTGCTGTACTCCCAGTATGGGTTTTTGGGCTCCACTGTGCTGTACTCCCTGTATGGGTTTTTGGGCTCCACTGTGCTGTACTCCCAGTATGGGTTTTTGGGTTCCACTGTGCTGTACTCACTGTATGGGTTTTTGGGCTCCCTGTATGGGTTTTGGGGCTCCACTGTGCTGTACTCCCTGTATCGGTTTTTGGGGCTCCATCATGGTGGTGGTTGAGTGGGTGAGAAATAGACCTACTACCCCTCTAACAAGCACATTGTATAAGGAATCTAATTATGAATTTTTCCTTCAAAGTTAGAATGTTTTTGCCTGACAGGTGAGGTCTGCATATTAGTCAGTCAGATCTGTAAAAGGAATGCATGAACCCCAGGTTCTCTGGCAGAAGAACAGACCCAACAGCCCTTGACAAACATGTCATAAAATGCAATTAACTGTTCAATCAAAATATTTTTCCTTGAAATTATGATCATAACAGCACGATTCAGTTAAACCAATTTCCCTTAACTAACCTGTAAGAATACTAACTACATGCTCACCAAAGCTTTATACATTACTTGTCAAAGAACTACATATATGAGTTCATAACCTGATTGATCTTAACAACAAAACATTCAAACCACATGTCATCAGACTCACCTGCAACAGCCAGAATATTGACTTTCTTCTTATTGCCGGCTTCAATTGTAGTCCAAGCTAGAGTGTAGAAATTCTGTTGAGGGAACAACATGAATTAACATAAATATAACTGCAGTCCAAGCTAGAGTTTAGATTTGTTGGTGGAACAATACCAATTAACATAAAGACCATACATAATACACAATATTTTTTCTCTTCAGCTGGCATAGGTGGCCATGTGAAAGAATATTTCAACAAAAAAATTACTCATCATTTGTGACTAACGGCTAACTTAGAATGATCAATGGGATCTACTACTGCACAGTGACTACCAATGATTCAAATATGCAGTTCTTCGCGTTCACCAGCTTCAAACTCCAACACAAAGTCCTGGCTGCTCGGCTATTCTGGACTCTGGTTTTGTTCCAGGACTTGAGCGTTGTAAGCACATCTGTTTTAAATATGCCTTTAATTTGGTTAATCTGGCCCTGACTACACAGTCACATTACACATAGTAATGGAGAATGAGAGAAGGGTAGTGTTCTGTAAAGTGAAGTAACAACAACTCACTTCATTCTTGTCTGTGTCCTGAAAACGTTTGAGGACCTGTTGTGTTTGAACATCGATGATACAGACTGTCTTGCCCCCACATGTTGCCAGCAGATTTGTTGTTTCTTCTGATGACAAGAAAATATGTATAGTTTGTGAACCAAAAATGTTTTAATGTTCCATTAGTGGATCTATTCTTGTGGTCACTGGCTGAAATAAGAGAATCACCTTGACTCAATCAGTATAATGAAGGAAAAGAAGTACTCTGACACACTAGCAGAAAACAATGCAAAGGAAAATGGTGTTTTATGCAGTCAGCCTAAGTGATAGCAAATTTTAAAGAAATTATACGTTTTCATTGGATAAAATATACATTTTAAAAAACAGACCTTTTCCATCAACTTCCTTAGTGAAGTGTTAGAAGGAGACGTGAGGCTCTTATATGTGCTCTTAACATGTTGTATGAGTTTGTCTTCATTTCTCTAAGGCTGTTTCTGATACTGTCATTCCATTTTTTTTTTTTTTGGTGGTCTGCCTTTTCTCATCAGATGATCAAAACATTTTTTCTGTTGCTCTTCAGTGAACTGCATGGCTGGTTCCAGTCTTTGTCTTCTCCTAACTTCTTTGCTTTTAATTTTATCTTATTCAGATTAATAAAGTCACAACCATGTTTCTTCTACGTGAACATTTCCTATCACCTTTGACCTCAAAAGCAGCTGCCATGCTGTAAGGGGCTAGGGGCTCACCTGGGGATTACAAAAATGACCTGGGCACTGAGGTCAACTCAGCCCTAAATTGCCACCAGGTAGAGTCCTGGGAAGTAAAGGTGGCCGGCATGATGCTGACCACATCACCCAATGAGTGCTGATTGGTCTATCAAATATAGGTCCAGCCCTATTTGCCTGAAGGTGTGGTAAAGGGTCCTGTACTGTACCTGTGTCATCAAGTTTGGCAGCCCCCTGATAAATTCCATGAAGAAACACCTTGACTCTAATTTCTATTTTAATTTTGAAACCAACCGACCCTTTTCAAAAATAATCTTGGTTCCCTCGTCGACTTAGCCTTAAATGAGTACCAGGTAAAGCCCTGGGAAGTAAAGCCGGCCGCCACGATGTTGACCACATCATCCACTGAGTGCTAAATGGTTTACAAAATATAGGTCTAGTACTGTATGCCACATACGCCTGGACGTAAATTTGCCTAGAAAAACCACACAACAGCCAGGGGCTGTTGGGGTTGGTTTTGCAACCTCCTGTAAAGGATACGCAACTAACCTTAACTATATGCCACATACGCCCGAGTGCATGAAAAAAGATCCCTTTAGACCCACACTGAACAGACCCCATTTCTTTAAGCTTTCATAGTTCATATGCATGTGTTTGCATGTTTTCAAAGTCTGGTTTTCATGAGCAAGAGGTCATGAGTAGTTATGCCACCATTTCTCAAATGTTGTCTAACTGAAAGCACTCGTGTTCAAAGACTTGCTTTTAGCAAATACCAGTTCTGTATATATACATAAAATTATTTGTCAAAATGCAGCATATTCCAAACACTACATGTAAAGAGTAATGATCTACTAATGACTTCCTCATTAGGGACAGTTGTCAAAATTGTTTGTATAAACACTCCTTTTTTAAATAAAAACCCAAACTATTGTATTACAATATAAAATAATTGGATAATTATTACTTTATTTATGTTCATTTCATTTCTCTTCTGAGGTCAGCTGATGTAATACCAGGAATGTTTCATGAGTCTAATTATCTGTGTAGTGTCCTGCAAGCAATTAAATATTAATGGATTTTTTCTGAGAAATTTTAATCGAGTATTTAGTCCATTACTTTCAATAATGAAATTATTTTACTACATTACAAACTGGCAATCTAAGAATTTCCACTTGTTTCACTGTATCTGACTTCACTTGCCTGAATGTCACTAACAATGTTATAACATTATTTTTAAAAAAGCACACCTGGGTTTTCGAGGGAAGGTTCAAAGGCGCACTTCCAAATCTTGGTTTCATCATCATTATCCTTTTGATTGTGGCATCGCAGAAAAAGTGTCGGCTGATAATCCTCTAATGATGGCTGTTTGGAATAGACACAAATTAATTATAGCATATTTAATTGTTAGCAAGTCTATAAACATAATTTGAGATCTTTCATCTTTATTTTACCGTTATATCATAAACGACCCTCCCCCCTCAAGTACAACTACAACAGAACTTTTATAAGTTGACCACTCAAGAGACTAGCAAACCAGGTCAACTTATGAAGGTGACCAACATACAGTGTGAAGGTTATTGAACTGGTATAATTCTTTCTTGAACTACTTACACTGGAAAATACAGTAGCACCCTATGAAATTACACATAAACGTAAGATTAAATACAATCAACAGCAGCAGTTTTTTTATAGTTTATCTTTTTCTTGAACAAATAAAAAGGAATCAAACTTGGTCGGTAACTTATTCCCCCCCCCCCCCCCCCCCCCTCCCACCTCCTGACTGACTCACCCAAACCATGTACAAAAGCAGAGAGGTTAGAACCTAGGAGCTTGGTTTAGGTTGGCCACTTGAGGGCACACCGCCCCCCCCCCCTCCCAATCATGTTAAGAAGCAGAGAAGTTACTATGCAACCCAGTGCACCATAGGTGTTAAAATGTGATACCTAACAGCACAAAGCAGATACTAACAAAAAAAAAGAAATTCAAATGACAAACAACAGAAGTGTATTAATGCCAAATAAAAGATATGTAATGAGTAAAAAATGGACACATTATCAACAAATAAAAGATATGTAGTCACGAAAAAATTTTAATAACAAATAAAAGGATATGTAGTCACGACAAAACATTAATAACAAATAAAAGATATGTAGTCACGACAAAACATTAAAAACAAATAAAAGGATATGTAGTCATGACAAAGCAGAAAATACGGAATGCCTACAGAACCACCTAAATCAAATTAGTAACAAAGGGGAGAAAATATAATATGAAAATGAACACTACGAAGACGGAGACAATGATGATAGGAAGACAAAGACAATTTAGAAATTAAATTAAAAAACAACACCCTGAGACAAACAGAGGAATTTAAGAATTTGTGAGCAATTTTTATATCAGACGGAAAACTGGACAGAGAAATTATCTCCAGATGTGCCAAAGCTAATCAAGTAATGGGTCAACTATCTCCCCTGTTGACACGCAAGCAGATACCTCGGAGTACTAAAGTGAATCTTATCAGAACTATTTTTTGGCCAACACTATGCTATCAATGTCAAACGTGGACACTTACATCCTCCAATGAACGTAAAATTGTGACAAAAGAGATTAAATGCCTTAGAAGAGCTGCAGGAGTTTCAAGGAAAGACAGAATACGAAATCATGAAATCAGACGAATGCTAGGAATAAAGTCAGTCATACAGGTCATCAAAGAACAACAAATGAAGTGGTTTGGACACCTAACAAGAATGCCCTGGTACTATTCGCCACAGCGAGCCACACTAAAACGTTACAACGGTTATAGAGCGAGTGGAAGACCTCGGAAAATATGGAGTGATGGAATCAAGAACAGCCTTATAGAAATGAACATCAGTCTTAATAGTGCTCCTGACAGAGCTCATCAACGAACATTACATCTCCCCCTGACACTTCGATGAGGTACAAGGTGGAAGAGAAGAAGAAGTCATGACATAATATTATTAACAATTAAAAGGATATGTAGTCACGACAAAATATTAATAACAAATAAAAGGATATGTAGTCACAACAAAATATTAAAAACAAATAAAAGGATATGTAGTCAGGACAAAAAGCAAATCTAATACAACAGTCAGGCTGTAGTCTAAAATAACTTTAAGATGTTTAAAATATTTTTAACTACATACCAAATGTCCAAGGTCTGGAGCTTTTCGTTTGATTCCTCTCCGTGCCATTTTCTGAAAGTATAATTTCATGATTTAAGTTAAGAACCAACATCATGACACTCTAGACATTCCCAACAGCACTCTGTCCCCATTTTCAGCAGCCAGCACACAGAGCTTTAGTGACGATGGTACTAGCAACAGTATGATCGTATGTCCTTCCTGCCTTTTCCCTGAGTGTTGAGTGTCAACCAGATCCCCAGGTCACTTCCTCAGCACAATTCTCATCAGACAGTGATGACCTATTTGTGCCTCCCTGGTGTTCAATCAATCAGGTGCCGTCTCCACAATGAAGGTTGGCTGCAATGGATTTCCAACAAGCCCTGAATCTTGCCCTGGATGTACACTCACTCATACTGCCGTTCGTCCATCTCTTGATGTTATCCCCCCATTTGTAACGCGTCTGCCTCTTGCTCGCCTATCTTGAACCTTTCCCTCTAGGATGATCTTTACAATACTGTTGGTCTTTTAATGTGACCAAAATATTTCACTTGTCTCTTTTTTATTTCACCTAGCAACTCTCTTTTCATTTGCAATTTCCCCTGGTGTTCACTCACTCTCACAATTTCCCCTGGTGTTCACTCACTCTCACAATTTCCCCTGGTGTTCACTCACTCTCACAATTTCCCCTGGTGTTCACTCACTCTCACAATTTCCCCTGGTGTTCACTCACTCTCACAATTTCCCCTGGTGTTCACTCACTCTCACAATTTCCCCTGGTGTTTACTCACTCTCACAGGACACTGAGAACATCTAGCTTGTCATGCATCAATTAATTACCACATGAAACAGAACCAGCCAATGTGTCTGCCTGCTTGTTTAACAAATACTAGAGCATGAGCTACAGAAAATATCCACACACACAAGACGTTAACTATCTGGGATATCTTCTTCTTCTTCAGCGTTCATCTGAAGATGTAATTGCGTTGTGTCCCTTTACAGCATGGCTGCGATATTTGCACCTTTCGGCCAACACATCCGACTTCTGCAGGCATTTGTTGACCAGGTTAGCCTTCCCGGTATCTGGGATATCTGAAGCAAAGCTTTCCAATCTACGTAGAGCACACATGTCTGAACATGCTTTGTGTGTGCAGCTGGTTCTTAGCCGCTAAGTTGGCGGGAGGCTTCAGTGGCTGCCTCCAGCTCCATTCTCATATACTGTGATGGTGATAGGTCATATGTAATAGTGTCTCAAGTGAATAAACTTTAGAAACAGGAAATATTAAATGTCTCATTGTTGTAATTGTAAGACCCCTTTTAACCAGAACATTTTAAATGGTTGAACTGGTACAAATACAATAGTCCTGCAATGGAAGAATGGGAGCTCAATGATTAAATGATACACACACAATTTCTAGAGACACCAACAGATGCACTGCAGCCAAACTCCATTGTAGAAATGGCAGAAAAAGTATTATCCAGAGCTAGGTAGACTTAGCATACACATATGAGTCATGTATTAGCAGTGAATATGACTATCAGTTATACACTAAAGAAACAGCAGTCAGTCAAATATTCAGGACTGCTGTAAGTGTAACTATATAAACCAAAAGCAGCCTGTAGGGGCAGATGTGCCATCTGTTACAATTACTGGTAAGCTAATTCATAACATATGAAATATTATTACATCAAACGTAACTGACAAGCAAAAATATCCAATATATCAAAACTATACATCACAGTTATAACCTAGAGAATGATAGGAGACTTTAGATGATATTACTGTTTCAATTTAAATTAGTATTAGTTACTATGTGCCATCTTGTAGCAGTCTAGCTAGTATTTTTGATGTGTCATTATTATGTTTTATCTGACAGCACAGCCACTGGATCTGTGTCAGAAAAGATTTTCAGGCTATCCTGCAAATAACGGCCACATATTATGAATTATGGCGGCCTAAAACAGGGCCTCAGTCACATGTAAATTGCGGACTTCCGGCGACTATACCGCTGAGAGTGAGAGTATCTCCCACGCCGTGGATTAGGGCTAAACTAGATGGATGGGACTCACGAGCAAAGCTGCAAGAGATAGGATAGCTGCTGCTCGTGAGTCCCTGCCATCTAGTTTAACCCCAATCCCCGCCACGCGTAGCGAGCGGTGTGGGTGGGAGATACTCTCGGCAGTGGCGGTAGTCGCCAGAGGTGTGCAATTTAAGTTGCCAGAAGTCCGCAATTTACATGTGACTGAGGCCCTGATAGGGTATTTTTGTGGCCGCCATAATATGTAGCCGTTTTTCGGAGGATAGCTGATTTTCAGATCTGGATATGTCTGACTCTGGATCAAAGATTGCATGTTTAAATATCTTGTGGGATCAATTTAAATATGTACGTGGTAACTATAACAATAATAACACTGTGACTATTAAAATGCCATCATTATCATCTAATAATGTGTGTGTGTGTATACATACTGAGTATCAGTAAGTGCGTGTCTTTGCATGCTGACATTGTGTGTTTGCACGTTCTTACCTTACCTGAACTTAGAAGCTGATTTATCCTCGTCAATAATCGCAAGGCACTTTTTCAAGATGGTTTCTTTGAAACTATTTTTTTTTTTTTAATTCACTATTCACGATCACGAACGAAGCTTTAATAAAAATGAAATGTTAAAAACAAATCAAGTTCAACCCCAAGTTAAACCAGAAGGGGCTCGAGACTCAAGTTACAACATTTTCTTTCTGATCGTGATCTGCAACAATCAACAATGAGATGAGGTTCATTTAACGCTTGAGAGAACCTTATGTTGACATTAGCTTTATGAAACAAGTAGAAACATTAATGGCGACAAAATACGTGCTACAATTTTAAAGGAAATGTAAGAAAATAGTAAAAATTGAGAAGTCTCCAGTCTCCAGGTTAAAAATAACTGCAGATGTGAAGCGGTTAACTTCTGCCAGAGAACGTGTTTGAAAGTCATTATTCGCATTTTAACTATTATAATTTTAGTGGATTTCACTACATAAAATATAAAAATTAAATAAAAACAACAACTGAAAACTATGTATTTTTTTAAATAAACGAGTTAAAAATTGATATATTTACTTTTTATGTTGTATTTTGCGGTTTTTATGGTAATAAATTTTATGAATAATATGCTGTGATGAAAAGGGCACGACGAGTCTATCCTCACGGTTACAGTAAGGGAGGGGGAAAACAGTGGATAGAACGCCAACACTTAGCCGGGAAAACACTTTGCTGAGGTAACTGGATGACTAAAAGGGGGAGAAGATAAATAAAAATGCGAAGCCTAAATCTTTCCCTGCTAGCATGACACTCGGGTTTTTTTTTTTTTTTTAAACTCAGACACTCTTAAAGTTGAAGCCAATTTAATGTAGACAGTCATGTATATAGTTTTCACTGTTCCCTCTTCTTCTTCTTCTTCTTCTTCTTCTTCTTCTTCTTCTTCTTCTTCTTCTTCTTCACTTCCTCTTTTACCGCTGTGGGTGTCGAGGGAGATATAAGGTTCTGTTTCTAGCTCTTCTGGCTGCCTCGACCATAGGCACATCGTACTGTTGTAGAGTTTCTCTGATGTTATCCTTCCATCTTGTTCTTGGTCTACCCCGTGCTCTACGTCCTTCTTCTCTTCCCATGTATGCTTTGTATGGTATGGTGTCACAAGGCATTCTCTCTAAGTGGGCAAACCATTTCACTTGCTGTCTTTGTATGTAATCCAGAATTGGTTCTGTGCCGACTTGTTCTCTTATGATCTCATTTCTGATCTTATCTCTTATGGTCACTCCTACAGCCCTTCTCAGACATCTCATTTCCGTGGTTACTAATTTTCTTTTAAGAGGATTTTTATGTTCCCTCTACAACTCGTTATCTTGAACATTCATGAAGTCTTCGATTTAAGCCTGAATGTTTTCTCAATGAATCTTGTATCCGTTACCCGGGGGAAGTCAATGCATCCATCATCAATGCATCTTCATTTCGTTGTGCCAATATAGTCACATAGTCACATTCTATTCCTCTGTTCTTTTCTATCATGTAAAGTGTTTCCGATATCATGGATGGAATCCAGTCCAGCGGCTCTAGCCTGTCTCGACAACGTTCGTCTTCGGATTTCTTGTGGGCGTCTCCATGTCCTCGGTCCATTTGTTTCCCTGTCGGTACCTGTTAGTGATTCTCATTTTGCCTTATCGCATAATATTCCAAGTAATTTGGATCTTCTCTTCCCCCCCCCCCCCCAACCACATAATACTGTTTAGACGCTAAATCAGCCCCAGTACTACACTGGTCCTAACCTTCCATGGCAACAATTCGGCTTGCTTCCAACATCTGCCATTGCCCCTTTAGCAGCCTCCTCTCTGTTCCATACCCACAAAGAATGAACGAAAGCTCTAGCTAAACAACATCAAGACCTGAAATACATACTAGTGAGAAGTACAGCCCTCCAATCCTCAACACATACTTTCGGTACTTCTAAATATCCTAGCATTAGAAGCAAGACATGTTCATTTTATATCTAGCCCCCAACTCCACCCCTTCCCACACCCTTGGTCAATTTCCCGATGGGTGTAGTGCAGACCGATGAAAAGTTTATTTGCGAACCTAGAAACCTAATTTATGTTATTGTGTGCAAAAGATGACCAAGACAAATACCAGGGAAACTGGTAGGAAGTTGGCGGATCACCTTTGTCAACACTAACGCCAGCAATAATGGGCTACTGTACGCTGATGGTATCCACATGGATAGTTCTAGAAAATAACGTAAACGCATGTGAGAGGAGTTGTATAACAGATGATTCAGGGAAAACAAGCAGAGACAGTCACCAGTGAAGAACTAACAACAATGGTAAGCACATCATCGATAAATGATTTGACAGAACATTTAAGAATCAAGTGGCTTTATTCAACTGGTCAGAATGGAACAAAATCAGTCAGCAGTTGGTGCGTACTATACGAGAACAGCAGGCTATAAGGCAAGAGGCCGACCAAGAAAGATATGGGTGGATGGAGTAAAAGAGAAACGACAATTTAACATTACCACAAGCTGCACACTAGCAAAGGATAGGAAACTACATATAATTACTCTCTGCGATGCTCCACAACATAAGCAGTAAGACAAAAGATGTAAAAAAGAAGACTGAAATTAATAGCATGTGATCAGCGCATCAATTAACAGCTCAGTAAGTCGGTCTGTAACCTGTAGGGAGGCAGACACAAGTTGTGTTGTTATCAAGGGCCCATAAGTTCATAAATCAACCCTCCTATTGTAGACAAGCAGGCCAATGCCCAACTGCAATCGTGGACACATGTAGGCATATAACGAAGTCGAACCATACCTACTTCGGCCTAGTTATCAGAGGACAATTTATTGGTTTAAACAAGTCTGATAATATATCGGATACTGAGACTGCCAAAACCAGCAAAACCTGACCGAGAGTCAGTACCTGCAGACTGGTAGAAGAAACGACGGACACCAACACTGGTTAGTTGTCAGAAACCCGCACTATATGAATGAATCCTACAAACGTGCAAATTCTGGCTTTCCCTGGGGGTAACTGGTGTGGCCTATGGCCAAACTTTAGTAACTAAAGTTTGGCCATGTGTGGCCTGAGTCAAACGTGCAGTTCACATTCATTCTTCTTCTACTTCTTCTCTTCCACCTTGTACCTAAGAAAAAAGTGTCGGTGAGGATGTAACATTGGTTGATGAGCTCTGTCAAAAGCACTATTAAGATTGATGTTCATTTCTGTAGATCAGTTCTTAATGCCATAACTCCAACTTTTCCGAGGTCTTCCGCTCGCTCTATATCCGTTGTTAGGTGTCCAAACCCTTCATTTATTGTTCTTTAATGACCTGTAAGACGAGCTTTATTCCTAGCATTCGTCTGATTTCGTATTCTGTCTTTCCTTGAAACTTCTGCAATTCTTCTAAGGCATTTCATCTCTGTTGTCACAATTTTACGTTCATTAGAGAATGAAAATGTCTTTGTTTGGCACTAACAGCATAGTGTTGGCCAAAAAATAGTTCTGATAAGATTCACTTTAGTACTCCGGGTTATCTGCTTGTATCAACAGGGCAGATAGTTGCCCCATTACTTGATTAGCTTTGGCACATCTCTGGCTAATGTTTCTGTCCACTTTTCCATCGGATGTAAAAATTGCCCCCAAATACTTGAATTCCTCTATTTTTCTTAAGGCGTTGTTTTCTAATTTTATTTATAAATTTTCTTTCTGTCTTCCTATCACCATTGTCTCTTCTTCTTCTTCTTCTTCTTCTTCTTCTTCTTCTTCTTCTTCTTCTTCTTCTTCTTCTTCTTCTTCTTCTTCTTCTTCTTCTTCTTCTTCTTCTTCTTCTTCTTCTTCTTCTTCTTCTTCTGCGTTCGACATCAGTCATGCTAAACACTGAGTCCTGTATGGGTCACAAATTGGATTGTGTGTTTAAGGTCGCCACCGGTCCCCCATAGCTTCTCTTTCAATGTGGCTCCCTTGGGCCAGATCCACAGTCTTTGCTGGGATTGGTAAGGGCAGTACTGTAGTATGCGCCCAGTACCATTGTCTCTGTCTTCCTAATGTTTATTCTCATATTACTTCGGGCCAACTATCAAAACCGATAAAACTGTTATTATGTATCAACCGACTTCCAGAAAACAAAGTTACTGTGAACCCATATCACCGTAAATAATCAACAGTTACAATGGTCTCGTAGAATGGGAGAGAAACGGCCACCACGTCCGTCGGGCCATGTGTGAAAACAAACTGAAAATTAACTACTTTTAACCTATTGCGAGAAGTATTGGCTATATCTGTGGTCTGGTTTCTTTGTGTCAAATATGTTGGCTAAGAAATTGTAAATGCACCAAAACGAGTGGCTTGGGCAGGTAACCTGGTGATGGTTGTTAGGGAGGGGTATGTGGCTTAGGTGTTATGAACGGGCTCCGTAATGGCTTGTTGCTGGGTTCGATCCCAGTTGCAGACGACGTGTCAGCAGACCGCTGTGTGCTGGGGTCGACAGTGGTATCGAGAGCCGACCGGTTAGTGAATCTTTGACAAACAACTGATCGTAAATTTGCCTACACACAAAAAACAGCAACAGTCAATAACAACAACAAAATTTCGGGGGTTGGTTCCGCAACGCCCTGTAAAGAACACGCATCTAACCAACTTCAGAAGAACTTATCTACGGCTGGATTTCTTCAGTCCCTAACACAGTCCAGAGAGTCGCCATAGTGTAGTGGCTAGACGCTCGCCTACTGACCAGAAGGTCCAGAATTCAAATCTTTTCTTTTTTTCATGTGGATGATTGCTTGCTCCTAGGTAGACCCATCCTAAAATGGATAATAGGAAATGTCATTGGAGGTAAAGGCAGCTGGAACGATATGGACCATATAAACCACCGAGTCCTGATTGGTATTTAAAGATACACTATAGCATAAGACACACTTTTATCACTTTATAACCAATGCACCAAGGGCGCGAAAAAGCTTCTTTAGTTTTAACACTGACCAATACTGTCCAAAAACATTTTACATTCACAGTCTACTCTCACGCTCTTGTTGATAACTTTCTAGTGTTTCCTTGACCCTAGAGCTGATTTGAAAATAATAAACAGGTGATATTAATCTGTGATATCAAATCGCATAGTGATAAGTTGATAACACTGTAGATCGGGACTAAAATTATTTCGTTTATTTGTGAAGATCCTTGTTTTTAACCAACGTACAGTAGACCTGTTATCAGATTTCAAGGACTATATACTTGTTGTGTCACTCAAATAGCTGCCATTTAATTTAAATGCACACTTGACAATATAATGTGGTTCTTTCTTGCTTGGTTATCATTTGTGAACTTGAACAGAATGAGAACAGTATGATTCTAGTGTCTATTCTCACAATTATTACTTACGTCTGCTCGTCAATTGTCAAGGCGGACGTCAACTCAGGGTGTCCTTCATGGGGATGTCTCCCGTCTGGCAGCTTTTCCTTGAGCTCGGGGGTTCCCCCAGCCAACGGGACTGTGAAATGGTCAACGGAGATTTTAAATGTCCGGAACAGCCTTCAGGTGGGCAGTTTACGAGGCTGTGTGAGTGATCAAGTCGCTGTTGTATGCTCAACACAGAGGTAAAGTTTTCAGTTGTAGCAGATTGTGACAGTTGTTGCCTGTCCCCTTGTGTCTGCGCGCTTGTGTGTGTGTGTGTGTGTGTGTGTGCACGCGCGTGCGTGTGTATAGGTAAAGTTCATTTCGAATGACTGATGACATAGAGAGGGGAGCTAGACAGTGAAGTTAAAAATGAGGGGAGGACTTGAGAAGAGCTGCATGCGCTAACTAAGAATAGAACGACTTGGCGTGAATTGGTTGACGGCCTATGCTCCATAGGGGTTTAGATGGCAGAAGAAGAAGAAGAAGAAGAAGAAGAAGAAGAAGAAGAAGAAGAAGAAGAAGAAGAAGAAGAAGAAGAAGAAGAATGTAGATACTGGTATCTATGACATGGGATAATCCATATATTGCGTGGCTGGCCTCTGGTTCTGCTACCATTATGTTCAAGTGTCATGGCTTTCTGTCGTGCACTATCTGGTGTTATTCTTGTCACATGTCCGAACCATTTGATCTGTTATCTCTTAGTGTAATTTAGTACTGGTTATGTCTCCACTTCTTTCTTGATGTCGTCATTTCTGATCTTGTCTCTTATAGTTACATTTAGAATTCGTTGTAAACATTTCATTTCTGTTGTTTTGTTTTTTCTCTTTCCTTTCATCTCAACTCAATGACCAAGTTTGGCACTGGTATCAGAATGTTAATAAAAATACTGTATTGAGTAGTGCTCTTTGAGTAGTGTCAACTGTTACATGTTTGTTCCGCAAAATTGGTGACATCGGTACAGTAATTTGGTTTGCTTTATTACCTCAACATTCAGGATGATAAAAATAAAACAGAAGAGTCATCGTGGCAAAGCCAAAAGTCATGATAAACATAATGTTTAAAACATATATTGCAGAGACTGCACAATTAGAGAGAGAGAGAGAGAGAGAGAGAGAGAGAGAGAGAGAGAGAGAGAGAGAGAGAGAGAGAGAGAGAGAGAGAGAGAGAGAGAGAGAGAGAGAGAGAAAGAGAGAGAGAGATTACAATAAAACAAAACCTGTTTGTCACACCATTTATTTTGCCACTCAAACGACAGATGATATGTTTGTTTTGACATACGTACTGTACTTTCATTCAAGAAAAAATAAAATACACAGTTAGCAAGGGTTTATCTGTTCGGGCCTTAGGGTCTCTCCTGTTTACTGTAAACACCAACCGAACGAATCTGAATGCTTGTTTTATCTGCTAATGTATATTTCGTCACAGCATTATTCCAACCACTCCCACCCCCCTTCCACTCCCAGTTTAATTAGTAATTTATTTCAAATAAGCACCAAGCAACAGAAATTACCCCTGTGGTTTCTGTGGCCCCATTGTGGCAGGGTAGGGGGAGATAGACACACTTGTCCATAAGTATAAATAAACAAAAAGTAGCATGCCGTAAAAGGCGACTAATCAGGGGCCTTTAGATCAGAGTCAGAGAGCGTCTGCCTGGAAGGCGAGGAAGCAGCAGTCTGCATTAAAAAAAACTATATCAATAAAACGCATGTACACACAAAACTCAAGTCATGAAACAACATGAAAGTCCAGAAGTGGACGAACAACCACAACTTTTCGTCGGATTTACAACCAGTCAATTCAAAGAAGAAGAGGATAAAGATATTAGCATAATTACACGACTCACAGAAGGGGAGACGGGACTTGGGAGCTCAGGCACCTTGCTCTCTTCCTCACCCACTCCCTTCCCCCTTGTCCCCCCTCCCCCCCCCCCCCCCCCCCCCATGAAATCAAGAACTTGACCATGCACAGAAGTTCTCTGACAAGTATTTGACCTGACCATGCATAGAAGTTCTCTGACAAGTATTTGACCTGACCATACCTAAAAGTTCTCTTACAAGTATTTGACCTGACCATACATGGAAGTTCTCTGACAAGTATTTGACCTGACCATACATAGAAGTTCTCTGACAAGTATTTTACCTGACCATGCACAGAAGTTCTCTGACAAGTATTTGACCTGACCATATCTAAAAGTTCTCTTACAAATATTTGACCTGACCATACATGGAAGTTCTCTGACAAGTATTTGACCTGACCATACATAGAAGTTCTCTGACAAGTATTTTACCTGACCACGCAAAGAAGTTCTCTGACAAGTATTTGACCTGACCATGCATAGAAGTTCTCTTACAAGTATTTGACCTGTCCATACATCTAAGTTCTCTGACAAGTATTTGACCTGACCATGCACAGAATTTCTCTGACAAGTATTTGACCTGACCATACATGGAAGTTCTCTTACAAGTATTTTACCTGACCCTACATGGAAGTTCTCTTACAAGTATTTGACCTGACCATGCATAGAAGTTCTCTGACAATGTTTGATCTGACCATGCATAGAAGTTCCCTTACAAGTATTTGCGAACACATGTCCACCGGGATGGCTAACTAGGTCAACAAAGAAGAAGAAAACAATATATTTCCAACTTTCTCATCTCGGGACATTCTCATATAGGCTTTCGCTGCATCTTCGTTTTCAGATCCCAGCGACACGTTTCAGTTGCGATTTTACCAGTAAGAGTTTGATGTCTGTCGTGCCTTTCCTATGAGTACAGAATATCGGTCACATTCCGTCGTGATAACATAATAACAAGATAATACATAACGATAAGAACCAGAAGTAGTAATGCACTGTTTTCAATGCTGTATTAAAGATTATTTGTGGTGAAGGTCGATGTTAACTCAAGGTTGTAGCGTGCAGTTAAATGATGACAGCATACCAGTTAATCTAGAGTTTTGGGAGAGAACAAAGCAAGTTCCCGTGGACCAAGAGATGAAGAAAAGACGCTGGCGTAGGATAGGACACAGGTTGAGAAAACCTAAGAACAGTATGACTAGAATGTCTTTGCACTGGAACCCACATGGGCATAGCAATAAATGAAGACCACCCCCACCCGCCCCCTTTCCCAAAAAAAAGACATAGAAAAGGAGCTAGAGAATGAAGTGAAAAATATGGGGAGGACATGGGGAGAGCTGCGTGCGAAAGCGAAAAATGAAACGACTTGGCGTGAGTTGGTTGAGAGACTATGCTCCATTGAGGGTTAGAAAGGCTGATGAAGAAGAACAAAGTGGCTATAAAAAAATAGATCACAAAATAAATTAAGACGACACAAACTCTGGGAAAAAAGCAAAGAGATTTTGGCTAACATAAATATTATCATACGCCCTTTCTGTAAGCTGTATTTGCCATGCACGTATAGGATGAATCAATGTGATGTAGTCTCGGCTTGTACAACTGTGTCCAATACTTTCTTGGTCAGTTTTATTTGTACAAAATCAGATATTCTCGGCTTGTACAACTGTGTCCAATACTTTCTTTGTATGTTTTATTTGTACAAAATCAGATATTCTCGGCTTGTACAACTGTGTCCAATACTTTCTTGGTCAGTTTTATTTGTACAAAATCAGATAGTCTCGGCTTGTACACCTGTGTCCAATACTTTCTTTGTCTGTTTTATTTGTACAAAATCAGATATTCTCGGCTTGTACACCTGTGTCCAATACTTTCTTTGGCCGTTTTATTTGTACAAAATCAGATAGTCTCGGCTAGTACAACTGTGTCCAATACTTTCTTTGTCAGTTTTATCAGTACAAAATCAGATATTCTCGGCTTGTACAACTGTGTCCAATACTTTCTATGGCCGTTTATTTGTACAAAATCGGATAGTCTCGGCTAGTACAACTGTGTCCAATACTTTCTTTGTCAGTTTTATCAGTACAAAATCGGATAGTCTCGGCTAATACAACTGTGTCCAATACTTTCTTTGGCCGTTTTATCTGAACAAAATCAGAGTGCATATCTGTGTTTTTGATTTTAACTTTTCATGAGTATCGCTGTCTCGGTTTGCGTGTTTGTCTTCTTCTTCTTCTTCGTTTGTGTTTTATCTCAAGAATTCTCCCTGTGTGGTCAATGATGTGTAATATTGTGTCGACTGACAAACAAATCAGTAAGCCAGCTTACTAATTATCTCCCTTCTTGATACACGAAAAAGACTGAAGAATTTATGGAGATATCAGTGCACTGAAAAGGATTCCATGCGAACCAAATCAAGAAACCCCCTTTCCTCCAAAAACCGTTGGTTTCCCCCAAAGTTAAATGTGATTGTCCAAGTGTCACCTGTACTTCCTAGCGGTTACGTCAGCATGGACCCCATCACAGGGATCGCTGTTTGGAACACCACATCCATGAACGATCCCTATCTGCCTATCATGGACGTCTACGGCAACCTCATCGGCACTGATCAGAGTCAGATGGTCTACGTGGATAGAGAGGGGTTCGAGTCCACATCTATCAACATAGCTGATCTCAAACCAGCTTTCAGGTGATTGTATGAAATATAAACATCTCTCTCTGTCTCCCTGTCTGTCTCTCTCTTAAATATAAACATCTTTTTCTCTCTTTCTCTTTCTCTCTCTCTCTGTCTCTCTGACTCTCTCTCTCTCTCTCTGAAATATAAACATCTCTCTCTCTCTCTCTCTCTCTCTCTCTCTCTCTCTCTCTCTCTCTCTGTCGCTGTCTCCCATGAACAGGCTTTGTCGCACACTGCTCTTTCCTGTACCCTTCCTCTTTCAACTTCTCCATCTCTCTTTGTGTCTTTCTCAACCTCTTTCTTCTAATTCTATCTTTCTATCTAATCTATCTATTCTATCTAATCTATCTATCTATCTATCTATC